ACCACTACCGCAGCCCTGTTCTGGCCTGAGCAGGAAACCGACAGCTTCAGTTCCTTGGCAGCCTCAAGCTTGCTTTACTAGCAGGCAAGTCCCCACTGCCTTCAGCAGCCTACGTCTTTCAGTCTTGCTTCTTCTGAAGTCTTTATTCTAATGGGTCATTTCCCTAGTAAGATATTTCAATGTGATTGCTTGGGAGGAAAAACTGGGAAAGGCGAGAACAAGGGAAATTTCTTTGATGTTTTTGGGCACAAACTGTTTCTCCTCCAAACAACTTAACAGGGGAGTTGTAGTCCCGCCTCTTTGGTAAAGCTATATTTTTTAAAACTTAATCCTGTTTAGGACCACAGATCCAAAACCTAATGCTACCATATTTCTTCAGAAATGAACTCCAGGGATTGGGGCACAGCAAAGGCCAGTTAGCAAACCCTGGTTCACTAACAGGATGAGGGTGAGGAATGCTGTAAAATTAAACACCCTAGGAAAGCTATAATCCCTCTCCGCCGCTGTCCCCCCACCCCCCTTTCCCCACACACAATGACACCTATTTCCCAGTAAACATGTTCTGAAGAGAACTGCTGTTGGGACAAATTTTACTCCACTATATAGCTCATCCCTCCTCAAACCCATGAATTGAAGAGGATGCAGAAGGTGTGAAGAAAACAGAACTGGCCCAAGTCCTTTGTAATGTTAATGTCTTCTTGACAAATGTTTAGTTCAAACTAAAGTTGACTTGAGAGAGTGGGTTTGAGTGCAGGGGAATCCTCTTTGAGCTTTTTTTTTTTTTTTTAAGTCTTAAATCTTGGTGGTATGTATGTTAGCTCACTCTTGAAAGGAAATGATAAAGTGGCCGAGTATCAAAGGTTTTTCTATTTGATGGCTCCACATTGTAAACATTTGGTCAAAAATGTGAATGAAAATGCACGTGGGTGCCCACTGTTTACTTCCTACTATCCTTTTTCACTGTTTTTGGGAGGGAGGCAGCAAAGGAGACAGTTCTGGCTGTGAGTTAAGCTAGGATGGTACATCCAGCAAATGGAAGTTGAAGTCATTTTCCTTCGTCATGCGTAGGACTATCGCCTTTGGGTCCAACTGCATTGTCCAACAAACAATCTCTGTTTACTAGACTTTGCCAATGTTTTGCTGCCTCTGAATAAACAACTATTTATACAAACGGCTTTGCTATCATCATTTGCATACCCAGTTTTGATGCACACATACAAAATGTAAAGGCTGATATTCTGCATAGAGACTTTTGCCCAGGATAGGGAGGGTGGATGCTTGTCAAAGTATGGGTTTTTTAAAAAAAAAAAAGACAAGATGGTGTCTTCAGTACAAAATGTTTCGAGGAACAAGCAGAAAAAGAGTGAGTGGGATTGTTAGTTAAGAATCCCGTCTCTCTCTGATTTTAGGAGGTCATATTCCCCAGATAATATGTAAAGGTCTCCATCTTTAAGCACTCTCCCTTACAGGGTTCGGTTTCAGTCTGCAGAATTCCAAGTTCTTCTGCATGGAATGTTTCAATTCTATCCATAGTTACTTAAAAATAAGTCTGATTCCAGGACCAGCTGCTTCTAAGTAAACATACTTGGGATTATAGCTGAATTTGTGGCTGCAGTCCTCTTCCTGCTTGCCTGGGAATAAATTCTACTGAACCTAAAGCCACTTCCTTCTGAGTAAACGTGCCTAGGATCACGTTGTAAGCCACTCTGTTCAGTGGAGCGAAGTCGCCAGCAGATATGGCCAGTATCAAGAGTTCCTTATGTCAGGAGGAAAAAAAAAGAGAAGGTACTTTGAAATATTCCTTGGTTTAGTTGAAATTACTCATTTAGCCAAAGTTATTTCCATTGTACAACTGGGAAGTTTTCAGAGTGCTGTAAAATACTCTGCAATGTTATTTACTTTCACTAGTATTATTTACTTTTAGAATTTTTTTCCAGTGACCTTTTAATGGCATTTTGTGTATGTCTACTTGTCCTAAACCCTGATCCTGAAACTGTTATTTCACAGGCTCCTCTTAATCCAATGGGTTTTCCTTTCCAGAGAAAGTTGTGATTTGATCCCAACTCCTTTTAGAAGTGTTTAGAACATCTGCATTAGAATCTGAGGGAAGTTTCATATACAGTTTATATTATGGCTTCCATCTGCTGGTGCAAGTCTATGTCTGCATGTGCGCATATCAACCCATGTTAAAACAACAACATTGAATTCGGGAAATGACTATTTGAATCAAGGCTAGAGGGATGAAGAGTAGGATGCTACGAATTATAACCTTTCCCCCCCCCCTTTCTAAAGGATGTTAGATCCTTTGGCTGGGATAATAGTATCAATGAAGTAAACCACTGCAGTAAATTTTAAAATTATTAATATTGCAGCTGGAGGCTGAAGGTGAACATTAGCCTATTCATTTCCCAATATATTCTAACTTCTGTATTGTCCAACCCAGCACCACACAATCAATCAGTTCTCAGGGTTGAGGTTAAAAGTCGACTTGCTGTACCTAGTCAAGTCGCATGTCAGACCCTCCTTCCGTTTCTTCAGGGCAAAATCAGGCTAGAAAAAATAGTGGTGGCTTCATTTCAATAAATAATTTCAATTCCAAATCACTCTTCTTTCCCCCCCCCTCAACCCTCCAAATTTACCCTCTAGAGTTTTGCAGAGGTATGCATGTTCCTAAATTTTTATTCAAGAAAAGGCAAAATTTTGAATGAAATTTATTTCTGGATCAAAAACATGCCAAGGTCAGAAATCTTTTATCTGCACATTTGGGCTATTTAAATCTCGAAGTACTCTGTTGAGGGGGAAAAAAAGAAGAATAGAATTTAAAGTTGAGTGAAATTGCTCCTCCCTTGCTGCTTTATTTTATTTTCTACTTTTTTTTATACCTTCACCTTTCTAAGCAAGGTTACCTTGGACAAGAATCCACATTCCTGTAGAAGGAGTTCAAATCCAATTGCCATGGGCCGAAATGAAGTGTTTGTATCCTTTGACTAGAATTGTCCACTCAGGCTATAATGGAGACCATTCTTGCTTGTTTGTGACCTAAGGCTGTGTTGAGGCCATAGTAAGAAACTATGAACCCCAGAATGGCCAATGGCCTTTTGTACTCAGGCCTTTTTTTTTTTTTTTGCAAGGGCCCCCAACCTAAGGCTTCAGGCCCATATCGCTTTCTAAATTTAGACGCAGCCCATAGAGTCTCTGCTAAATTTCTCCCCAGTTGTAATTGTTAATGAGACCCAAAGGGAAACTTAGTATATGCATGGGAAGTAATCATGGGAAGTAAATGTATTTAATGTAATGTTAATGACACTTCAATTGCATTTGGGTTTCTGTCCTGGCTCCTTCCACTTTTGGCAATGCGGGTCTGGAGCAGCCCCTTACCCCCAAGCAGTTGAGGCCAGACTGCTGCTACTGCTTTCCTTCCTGCAAAGGGAGGGAGGGAGGGAGGGAGGGAGGGAAGGAAGGAAGGAAGGAAGGAAGGAAGGAAGGAAGGAAGGAAGGGAAAGGAAAGGAAAGGAAGGGAAGGGAAGGGAAGGGAAGGAAAGGAAAGGAAAGGAAAGGAAAGGAAAGGAAAGGAAAGGAAAGGAAAGGAAAGGAAAGGAAAGGAAAGGGAGGAAAGGAAGGAAAGGAAGGAAAGGAAGGAAGGAAAGGAAAGGAAGGAAGGAAGGAAGGAAAGAAGGAAAGGACGGAAGGAAGGAAAGGAAAAGAAAGGAAAAAAGGAAGAAGGAAAGGAAGGAAGGAAGGAAGGAAAGGAAAGGAAGGAAGGTCGGTCAACGGGAAAACCGAGCGCTGGCCTGCTTGGCTTTCTTCAGCTGTTTGAAATCGCCCTCATATCTGCCCTTTGGACATGTGGCTGATGGGCCTTTCAACCAACCCATCTGGAGGGCGCCCGGGGGAGAGGGAGGAGGGAAGGGGAGAAGACAGAAGGGCAAGCCAGACCTTCCGTGGCCAACGCCAGGAACCGGGTGACCGAGGTAGTAAATACGGGCTGGAAAGTTCCTGGAGCAGTTTCTCTCGGAGAGCTCCTCCTCCCTTCCGCCATAAAACACCCCTGACAGTCCGTAGTCAAACATTTCTCTTTCCACGAGGTCGATGGCGCTACAGTATTTATATCGGAGATATTTTGATTCCACCAGCCAAGCCCGCCCTCGCCCGCCTCGCACATGTTGGCTTATCTTCTCCCGAAGAGTGCCAAGGCTGGAGGCCAAACCCCAAAGATCCAGCCAGTGGGGGGTGGGGATCGTGGTCTGACCTCCCTATTATTCGGGAGTGGGTGAGGGCGCAGTCTCGGGGGTGAGGTGGGGGGGTGGAAAGGCCTCCCTGCCCTCAACAACCATCACCATCCAGGAGACGTTTTATCCAAAGGGGTTTTCTCCTTTCTCTCTTTCGGCTGCCGCGCCTCTCCCGTTGCCCTGAGCATCTTTCCAAGAGGCGGAGGTGCTCGAAGGCAGCGCCGAGAACAAGGGTCTCTCCACCCGCACAATAAATGGGACGCCTGGCGCTGCTCGCCACGGCTATGTTCTCCATACCTTCTTCCTGATGTGTGTGTGTGTGTGTGTGTGTGTGTGTTAGCGCGCGCGTGTGTGTAATGAAGGGGGGAGGGTTGGCGGGGGAGGAGGAGGAGGAGAGGGTTAAATATAACGATGTAGACCCAAATCATCTTGCTCTGGAAGAGTCGCGGCAGACAGCCTCTCGAAGTGCGAAGGAAGATGATAAGAATAGATTTTTCTCCAAGTCCTGACCACGTGATGGGCGAAATAATTAATTCAGCGCGTCCCTTAAGAAACGCGGAGCCGTCATTAATCTGCCAAGCAAAGGACTCTATCAGACTTGAAAACTGAAGAGATCCCAAGAATATAATATACAAAGGGGCGCGGGCTCTTTCTATGCACACCTAGGCTCTTTGGCTAAAGCCGAAGGGGGGAAAACAAAACAACACAAAACTAAATATATATACATTTGCCACTAATAAAAGAAAGAAAGAAAGCGGAGCTTGGTATGTACACATTTTCTTTCTTTTCTTTTATATTTCGAAATCCTTAATGAACTTAGCTGTCAAATGCTTGACAAATAGGGGCCCTTCTTTTTCCTGATTTGTAACCCTGCCCTAGTCCGACGCCGTTCTCGGCGGCCGTGCGTGTGAGTGAGTGAGTGCGTGTTGGGGGGCGAGACGCCCCAATGTGTTGACTCTTGATGATGGGAGATTAAGAAACGGAGCCTTCTGAGGACCGCGGTGGGGGAGAGAGGGAGAGAGGAAAGGGACGGCTTTTGACCAAAGGCTGCCGAGGGGAGAAATAGGGGTAAAGAAATACTGCTCGTTTCTCTCTTACGGGGGGGGGGAGAACAATATTAGCTGTCAGGGCATCTGCTACCCATTCTGAAACGGTGAGAAAGGGCCTGAACTTCTTTTCAAGCAAAGGTCGTAAATTTTGCTTTGCGTCATAATAGAAGGCTATAAAATCGAGCCGAAATTTTACCCAAGGCAGACTTTAACTAAGAGATAATGAATTCTTAAAGGTACTTCGGCACCGCCACCTCGCGAGGCTGCCGGCGTGGGCTCCATCAGTCCACAGAAGCCCGGGTGGGTTTGGGATACTTGGTTTTAAGGGCTTCTGTGCTGGGAGGGTGGCGAACCCGGAAGGATCTCGAGGAGCCAGCTGAAAAAAAGGGGAATGTTCCCACTGGAGAGAGGCCAGCATTTGAGTCCTTTTGTGAAAGATACTCTAGTGTAAACAAGCAAGCAAATAAACAAACACGTGGTTTTGTATTGAAACAACTTTTTTTTTAAAAAAAATGGGACTGTTAAAAGGCTTGAGTAATATAGCTATAAATTTGTGTGTGTGGAGGGGGAGGCTATAACTATATATCTATCTATAACTAAAGAGGCTCCCACATTGATTGTGATAGGTTTATGGAACAAAGCGATGAAATTTCTGCCTGTTTGGAGGTATCTTTTTTGTAAACAGCATAGTCTTTATTAAGGCTCCCTTTGAAACCTTTCTCTTGTCTTCTCTTCAGATTGTTGCCTTTTTTTTTATGACTTCCGTTGTGTGTCAGGACATAGACGGAGTTTCCTGTGTTATGAATTATACATTCAAACAATAACACATTAATTCAATTATTCAGATATGACAAATGATTTTGCTTTGGGTTAGTGACTAAGAAACATATTTGCTCTTTCACAATCCGAATGCACAACACATGCAGGTTGCATATTCTCTCCGTTGGTCCCAGTGAGAACCCAAAAATTACACGAGAAGGAGGGAGGGAGGGAGAGAGAGATAGAATGAGAGAAAGAGAGAGAGAGAGGGAGAGAGGGAGAAGAAAGGAACTCCGAACCTAAACGGAGAAGGCCCTTTAATGATAACGCTGATTCCTGCATATCGCCCAGAATATTTTATCAGTTTGACAATTGCCGTGTTTGTTGTTATAAATCATCGTAAGTAATTCCTGGAAGGATGCTCGTGTTTGTGTGTGTGTGTGTGTGTGTCTGCGCGCATATGATGGAGGGGTGGGGTGAAAGACAGAAGGAGAGACAGAGACAGAGAAGGCCCTGCAAGGATTGTAAATCTTTCCATTTTATTGCTCTATGAACAGATGCTTAGAAGGAAAAAAGCCTTAGATCCTTTTCTCCAGCCACATCTTGGCCAACTGGATTCCCCACACTCGACCAGTTTCACACTTAGCTTGTAGGGTCCGCAGGTTTTCTTTCGTTTGCTCCTCGTTTGTTTGCTTGAAACACAATTTCTAGGGGGCCTACATGTGCGATTTCTTTTATTACTACTTCCCTCCCCTCCCGCAATTATCTTTGCAAGTTGGTTTTTTTATTATTATTATTTCTTCTTTTATCTTTTTTCCCCTTTTGATTGGTGATGGGTGTTTCAGGTTCTGTTCTACTTAATGGGGAAAATGCGAGAAGAAAATGCATCACTCCCCTCTTCCGCAAGTGTTAAATTTTAGAGGAGTCCTTCCATTTCCGATACTGGAAGGTTCTTTGGCAGGTTAATAGATTATAAAGGGGATGCCCAGGCTCAGAGCTTTCCAGTCTGGTTCCTGTGCTTAGCTCCCTATTAAGATCATTGGGATAAAATTCTGTTAAGCCACTTTCAGGGAAGTAAGCTTCACATCAAAAGGGGTGACTCCCCTGCCTGGATATATGCCTAAGGCCACTTTCCAAGAGCTACTACCCTTTGACTGGATTGTGCTCCTGGAGGTGATCAATTCTTGAATAAAAGTTTCCTCTGGACCTTGATGTCTGGACTCCAGTCTTATTCTTAGTCGTTCAGCCCTTAGAAAGCAGAATAATGTAGATAACTGAAATGAAATATATATGCATAAATTTCTGTCCAATTGTCAAATTTTGAATGGTAAAGAAATCTTAGCCTATCCTGGATTAGACTGGACACTTCCATAACTTCAAAGTTAAACTTTAGAGTCGTGAGAGACACAAGAGAGGCGTTCCTTTCGCTGGGACGAATAGTAGATGTTGGTAATATCCTTTGTAGGAACAACAACAAAAACTATTGTTTTGTCTAAACCGGCTTTGTGTACAGGCAAATCATCAAGCTTTGCCAGACAGGGACAGGAAGGAAGGAAGGAAGGAAGGAAGGAAGGAAGGAAGGAAGGAAGGAGATAGATACATAGTGAAAGCGCCAACACTGTAGTTTTTTATCTCAGTGCTGACTAGCCAAACCCAACTTTCTCTATATTTGTCTCTGAGTCTCACTCCACCCAGGCATGCAAACAGTCGGATGATTCCATTCTGCCGGACTGAGGCAGACTTGCAACCATACAGCAGATTGAACAGAGAATGGCTAGGAATCCAGTGTTGCCAAGCCAAGCTTCTTGGATCACCACCCAATGCAAAAATCTCCCTTCCACCCCGAAGCTTTGAGACAGAAGTTAAGTCGAGCCAAGAGGGAGAAGCCCCTCTTGTAACATTTATATGAGCCCCCACCCCCTGCCTTTCTGCTCACAGATGATGGCGGTGGTAGTGGTGGTGGTGGTGGTGATGATGATTAGGAAGATGATTAGTCCTATGTAGGTACTTTAACTAGGTTAACCTTGGTAGCTTAATTTATCCTGAAAAGACAACAAAGTCTGCCCACCCTTGCATCACTTAGCCGGAGAAAGACTTGACTAAGAAGGATCGCACCACCCAGATGTTATCAGGATTTACAAAGAAGCCTTGAAGTCCATGCTGCGATGCCCCTTGGCACTGGATAGTTAAAGGACACCACCGTGGAAGTGCCAGATTTTCTGAAGAGACCTTTTCTCTGACGGAAGGTCTGGGGGAGCCTTTGACCCAGTGGGCTCAACCCGTCTGTATGGCACAGACCCCCATCTGAAGGATCTCGGGGCTGGATCACTGAGGACAAGCCGGGTGGAAGTTTCAGCCTTAATCAACACCATCTCCACTCTCAGGATCACGTGAACAAATATGCTCTTATTTTAAGGCAGCGCCTCTATTTTTTATTATACAAGGCTTCCTCCACTGATTGAATATATATTGAATATAGGTATATATATTCATTCATATTCATATAATAAGCCTCGTCGCTTATTATTTACAAACAAAAGAAAACGTTAAACCGGCATGGTTTTTAAATTTATTTTGTAGGCTTGTTCCTGAATGATTTTTTTAAAAAAGTATATAATTGCTATTATGAAAGCCAGCAAAACCAGGGTCCACTCGCTCTCTTTTATTGGAGCTCCAACAGTGGTTTTTATTCTACCGGGAATACTGGTCTATGGAAATGCCTGGGCAAATCCGCAAGATCAGGTTTAGGAGCGTATTGTCTCCAGAACAAAGGAGGAAGGATATATTCTCAAAACGGCCAACCTCCAGATTTTGACCTAGAAGGACAGCATTAGGATAAGCAAGGTTCCAGGTAAGCAATTGCATGAGTTTTCATGAGCATTCATTCGTTCTGCAAAGAACTGCAGAATGTACCAATGTCTGGCGTCTGTCGGGGCACCTCATTTAAGCTGGGACTGGAGCCTTTGTTGGAAACTCAACGCTTTTCTAAATGGCCATTTTCCTCCAAAATAACGTGGGGGTTGGGTAATTTTTTTCGGGGGAGGGGGCGCACCAGGATTTCTCTTAACCGAAAAAGGGAAGAGGGGAAAAAAGACAGACATCTCTTCGCTTCGGATAGTGGGCTTCACAGGATCCCAAGTTATATTGGAAAACTCTGGGTGAAAATGATGCCACTGCCTGTGGCACTGTGGACTGACTCTTTCTAAAAAGCAGTGACTTCCCATTATTATTCTTTGCCTTTTTGGTTTATTCTGCTATGTTTCTTTCATTTTCTCTCCCCCTCCCCGCCCCAAATAAACCACACGCTGATAAAGCAGGTTGTCATTATTCCACCCTAATTTTTACGGAGGGGTAGATACTAGCGGTTGAAAAGTTCATGAATCTTCGTGTCTTTGAGCGTTTCAACAGAAGAGTCACAATCTAGGAAGGTGAGAGGTACCTGCTCCCATCGATTGTAATGAGCTAGGCAGCCTCCTCTTTTACATGTCTATTCGCGGGCAAGTCCCGCTGATCTCAATGGGACTCGCTAACAAGGTTTCCTTAGGATGACAAACAGGGATCCGTCCTCCTTTTCTGCTGGAATATGGTTAATAATTAAATCATTCGCCAAAAAAATGTACATAAAATGTTAGCCGTTTTCGCTTCTACTCCCTGATCAAATATTTTTACAGTAAGGGACATTAAAGCTTGCCAGATTGAAAGACCTTTTCTTGGACTGAATATAGGAGGTTACAAAAGAACTGACATCTTCTGTCCCTTATAGGGACGCTGCTGAAGCCAGACTGGATTTTCTTTGGAACTGGTCTTAAAGTTATGGCTAAGTCACAAGAAGTTTTGGTCCTAGACATATTTACCCGGAGGTCAAGCCCGACTAAATTCAATAGGGAAGAAAATAACTTTTTTTTTTTTTTTGGGAGGAATCTAAAGTTTGCCCGGACTTCAAGATACTGATAACCAGCTCTCCTTCGTTTTCTATACATTAGCAATTCTATACAATTCTATACATTAATGATTAGCGAGATCATTAACAGTGCTGCCAGGCAATAGAAAAGCGTTTTAAAAAATGGTGGGTTTGGGTTCCTGTTTCGAACCGGTCTGGTTCAGAAAATCCAGAAGCCTCGAATCTCTCCCCCCCCCCCCGCGCCGCCCTCTTCCTTTTCCGTTAGCTCTCAGGCCTGCAAGCCGCCGGCCTGACAAGTTAGTCATCTGAATCCAATTAAGGCAAGCAAGGCATTTCATTTTGTTACGTGACAGGGAACCCTCTGGCAAGGAACTTCACCTAAAATTTCAATCATCTATTTCCTTCCTTCCTTCCTTCCTTCCCTTCTTCCTTCCCCTTCCTTCCTTCCTCCCTTCCTTCCCTTCTTCCTTCCCCTTCCTTCCTTCCTTTCCTTCCTTCCTCCCTTCCTTCCCTTCCTTCTCTTCCTTCTTCCTTCCTTCCTTTCCTTCCTTTCCTTCCTTCCTTCCTTCCTTCCTTCCTTCCTTCCTTCCTTCCTTCCTGTGGGCCTGCAACCACATCCGAGGCCGGCCCTGCTGCGATCTCAGCGCAGATCCTGAACTGGGGAAGAGCACAGGTTGAGGGCTTCCGATCGGGATGCGCGGCAGCAGGAGGAGGTGCAGGAGGAATGAGTGCAGGATTGGAGGACCGAGGACAGCCGGACGGAGCTTCCTTTCCTGTTCCAAGACGGGTCGCTCCCCAGCCAGCTCGGAAACGGCCGGAGTAAAAAGGCTGCACATGACTCCGCTTCTTTCTCACTATCTGGGAAAAGCCACATTTCCCTGCCGGGTCGCGTTTGCTTCTGCAGGAGGATTCAGAAGTCGATAATTAATTAGGCACAAAATGAAAACCTACCACGTTAATCAACCGCGAGCTTTGGCAAATAATGACCCTTCCGCCAGACGCTTCTATAGGGTGCCCTCCCTTTACCGCCGCCACTTGTTTTTCTCTCCCCCCCCGCCCCAAATTAAGCCTTACTCTGCCACTATACGCAACATCTATTCCTAATGAATTCCGGGGTTTTGGGTGGGGGTGGGGAATAAAGGAGAAAAATAAATAAAAGCCCTTAAATTGACGTCCTCCCCACCCCCACGTGAATATATGCTGTAAAATACCGACTGGGCCAGGTCAGGCCAGGCCTTGAAGGACCTGGGGTCCAGGTTGCAGCATCGGGGGGCGGCCAGTCAGCTCCGCTTTCCCGAAATCCCATAAATTGAAAGTGGCTGGAGAGCAAGAAAGAAGGCGGCTGCCTCACAGCTGGCTTTGGCTCAGGCTAAGAGAAGAAGTTGGGAGCTGGCTTCGAGGCCGGTCTTGGAGGGGGTTCCGAAGCTGGGTTCTTCACTGAGCGGTGAGTTATTGCTATCCCAGCCAAAGGTCATTTCAAAGGCTTAGGCTGGTGAGACGGTCTCTTTCTAATGACTGAGGCTTCATTGTGGGGGAGCCCCCCCTCCCGCCCCGCAGTAGTTCTATTAATGTCCTCCAAGTTGGGGGAGCAGAGTTAGGGGTACAGGCGGCTACAGGCACAGCGTGGGAATGATTTTAGGTGCGCGCGGGTGTGTGTGTGTGTTTAAAATTGATATTGTCTTCGATTAAAACAAAGCAAATGCCTGCCTAAACTCTGCCTAGCGCGCCCTTGGTGTGAAATCTGTACAGGGGTGCGCTAAAAGACTGAATGGGGAGTCAGTCTGATGGCTGGACTTTTCGAAGGGGGGGGGGCAATAAACTCTAGCCAGCCTTGAGACACTTAACATGGAAGCCACTGAATTAAGTGTGTGGGTGTTGCAACAGATTAGGTCTTTTGGGTGCAATAGTGTGCATTGAGTCTCCTTTCTCCTTAAAACGCCAGAAACATGGGCCTATGGCGAGGCACAAGGTTGTGTACAATCAACTCCCCTCCCTTCTTTCTCGGTGCAAAAAAAGTTACTACTCAACCCGAGTAGTCTAACTTTAGAGTAGTCTAAAAGAAATACTAATTTCTTTAAACACTCCTACACAAAGACAAACAAAAGCAAGAAAGGCTCTTCCTCATTGCAAATGTTCAGCTTAAAAATGTTATGCCTCTGTATGTGTATGTTTGTGTGTGTGTGTGTGTGTGTGTGTGTGAGAGAGAGAGAGAGAGAGAGAGAGAGAGAGAGGGAAATTAAAACCACAATTGATATCCTAGCATGCTTTTGCAATTACTTATGTCCTTAAAGGGTTATATATTAGAAGAGGATGTTCCTTCGTGTATACCGGATACAATACAATTATTCGAGTGTTTGGACAATAAAAGTTCGCAAATATTAATTGCCTTTAAAACTAACCGAATTCAGATATATACTCCTGATAGAGAGTAAATCAAAAGAGGCTGCTATTCCAGGCCTGTGAATCTAAGAATAAGATCCATTGTATTAGAGCTCTGTGAGAGAAATAGCTCTGCCTCACGGATACATTATTTATGAAGTCAGTGGTTCAGAACTGCGGGGGGGGGGGCGAGATAAAAATGCATCCACTGAATGTGCCCCTTTGTTCCAGGTGCATCTCATTGTTTTATCCGAGGGAACCACAAGACCGGCCCCACAGCTTTGCAGATAAAATTCAAGAAAAAACGTGAAAGGGGTGAGTTTGTCTGCAAATTTTTTTAAAAAAACAAAAACAAAAAAACCTCCAATGGTTCTGTGCACATTGCCTCTCTCCTCCACGTGGGTTATTACCGATAAATGTTGTTTCCAATGGAAGAGGTCGGAAAAGAAAAAAAAAACGATCAAAAAAGGAAAAAAATCTCTCTCTCTCTCTCTCTCTCTCTCCCCGTGGCTCCCTCAGGAGCTTTAATACACATAATGTAATGTAAAGTACCTGACTATTCATAAAAAGGTTGATATACAACTGTCTTAAAAATGCACTTGGAGCGCAGAGATAAAAGGTTATTACTACCATAAACGTTATCCTCCGCCCTCAGTAACATTTATATCCATCCCAGGCTTTAGTAGATCATTATTTATTCTTTTTTTTTTTAAGGAATGGGAAAAGTCTTTAATGGGCCCATATCACAGTGATCCTTGTGGAGCCCACAAAATGTACTTTCTTCCTCCATTCTAAACCTTCATCCTGATGGTACCGGACGCTTAAAAGAATTGGGTCGACTCGGTGCTAGTCCAGCTATTTCCAGCCCTGTCTCCCCGTTTGAGGGGGTGGGGGGGAACTGGAGACAAAACTCCCTAGGTCCCATACCAGACCAAGGGAGTTTACCAATGCTGAATTCGGATCAAATCTGGAATGGTCCTAGCAGCCTGACTGCGTTGCAAACGGCGAGTTAGCGGTAAGGGGCGAAGAGGGCCGGGACAGAAAAGGCGAAGCAGATTTTTGGATGGCTAACAGGGCTTCTCCAACCGCAGAGTATTAGGAAACCCCAGTGAAACGGGGTGTCGGGCCGTCACGGTCCATTTTCATCCATCACCCCGTTCCTCGCCCGGAAGAAATGTGGTTTTATTTTATTTTTTCTTCCCGGCTCCTCGGGCCTGTCTTCCATCGAAGACCTGGAAAGTCATCTCTGGCTCGGGGGGGAAAAAGGCCATTTTTCGAGCTAAAATACGCGGCGGGGCTCCCTGTGGGCGAAAAAGTCTCTTCACCTCCGAAGCAAGGGTACGGCCAAAAAAAAAAAAGAAGACCGGCGCGGCGGCCTTTTATATACAGATTCTCCGCCTCGCAGGCACTTTTGGCGGCGTCGGGCAGCGTCGAGAGGGAGGGGGGGAAGCTTTCTTTCTATGGTCGGCCTTCCCCCCCCCTCCTACGCAGCTGTTGTGGCTGCTTCTCCTGCTTCTCCTTTCTCCGCTTTCCATTTCTTACTGAAGCGTTTACTGCCCAGCGCCAACAGTCATAAATTTTGCTACACGCCGCCGTGACAGGTGCATTGATATGCGCTGCGAGAACTCGGCTGCTTAATAACCACTCCTCCGGCCTCTCTTAGTGCCTTTTATTTATTCGGTATCATATTAGATATTGATCCCCAGCAGAATTAAGTGTAGTGGGACGCATTGGTCGAGAACCTTGTTGGTAGGAATATGTTGGCTAGGCACCGGATCGAAAGCAGTTTGTGAGCGCCGGGAAGTTATCAAGAGCCCGGGATAGCTCGGGGTTCCCCCGTGGCACCTAAGACCTTTGGGGTCCGCCGAGGAGGAGGAGGAGGAGGAGGAGGAGGAGATGCTGTGCTTTTTTTAGTGCCCCCTTTGGTTTCTAGGGTGAGATGGAGAAGGGTGAGGAGATGAAGGGATTGCCTAAGGGCGCTGCGGTTCAGACAAGGTTAACCTCTGGAGAGGCATGGCCACAAAGCAGGGTCCTGGATAGAGAAGGACTTCTCCACAGCCTCCCACCGTGAAAAGCTGTATCTTCAAATTTTCCCGTTGCCTTCAAAAAAATTAAATTAAAAAGGTGCTTTCAACTTAGGGCAAGCCATGTAAAGCCAAATCGTGTGAGGAAGAAGAAGAAGGGAAAGAAAAGAAAGGAAGGAGGGGTGTAAAGGGGAGGTCTGTATGTGTGCGTTCACAACTCTGAGTGTGTGCCTGTGTGAGATCTAAAAGATGAGCCCCCAAACAGTAGAGCATTGTCCATGTGATTTATGGCCCTCTGCCTCCTTTTTAGGTTCAAGCAGAGTTCACAAGCAGTTGGTATGTAGAGAAAGAAAAAGAAAGAAAGAAAGAAAGAAAGAAAGAAAGAAAGAAAGAAAGAAAGAAGAAAGAAAGAAAGTTAGTTCTCACTTTGCTGTAATATTCTCTCTGAAGATCTTGTGTGTTGTTTGAGAAAACCTGGTTTTAGTGAATGAACCAGGAGGCACCAAGTCATGTGTTGATTCAGAATAAACAAAAAACCCCTATGAACTAGTGAGGTTGTAATAGGCTAAGAGGTGGACTTTATGATTATGAATGATTATTTGTGAATAAATGCAGCCTTGAAGGCTAATAATACACACACCAATGGAAGGAAATCCTGGACATCCTCTAGGTAAATTTTTATTTTATTTCAATTTGCTTTTTAACTTGGGCCCCACTTTATATATTTTTTCCTCTTTCTTTTTTTTCTCTAGATTCTTGGGAATGTGCATCTATAAATAAGTATATCTTCCAATAAAGATAAAACATGTCATAAAATGAACGCTACTTCATCATCTGTCATGCCACTGTAGGTCGCCAAAAGTTTTTTTTTGTTTTGTTTTAAATTATAAATAACATTCTGGAAGCTTATTTTTCATTTACTTAGTGCATTTATGTCTCACTTTTCCTCTCAAAATTCTGACAGTATTTTAGCTATTTAAGAGTGTATGCATGTCTATATTTTCAGTGTTATGAAGTAAGCATTAACAATACAATACTTAACTATTTTCTCTCTATAGCTTATTTACATTTATTTTAAATAATTTTTACAATTAAAATACATTAAAGAAACTTGTGAAACCTATCATAATTTAAGTAATGTTCCTGGCCTCTGTATAAAAGATACTGTGATTATTTGCCAGGCAGCTAAAATGTCTTGTATTACAAAGATGGGAAAATATAGCAAATTTAAAATATTTTAATTATAAATATTTTGTATTATGACAATTACAGCCATGATGTCCCAAAGTGATACCTGAACAGTGTCTTGTAATGTGAAATAAAAGATATCAGTATATTTACCAGGAACTAGTACAGAAATGCAAAAGTTTCAGAAGAATTAATAACTCCTTTTTTGTGTGGTCTCTATGTACCACATTTGTAAACCAATTTAAATGCCTGGAGTCTGTGATTTTAACTTTGTTATCTGAAAATAAAAATGTAAATGATCACAAAAAAGCTAATCATCCTTCCTGCTTCAATTTGAACAGCAACAATTCTTGAGTTTATTTGGGGACCCAAAAGTTCAGTGATTTTGAATGGTGAAAGTGAAAACAATGGAAAATGCATTGTGGTTCAATGGCGTATGTGTTCAGCACTTAATGAGCTTATGTGGAAACTATATTAGGGACATTTCTGGAGAAACAGAACTTTATAGCAGTTGGAATGGGAAACCTTATAGTTATGATCCCTGTGGTGCAACCTTCCCTACACTTTAGCCATGGATTTATTCCACTGAGCCCAGTAGGCCTTCTGAATAAACAAGGCATAACATTGAACTGCTTGATGCTTAGTTATAAGTACTGTTAAATTGGAAACAATGTCTAGTTTCTAAAGTATTTACTTGTTTTTCTAGATTGTTGATGCTACTTCTCTTATGAAATAGGATACTTAGCAAATGTATTTGAGAAGATTCAGACTTAAACACTTTGTTTAAAACTAAAGTCATGGGTTTGACTTCTTTGTAAATGCATTATGCATTTGATACCAAGCATCAATTAACATGCATTTACTTATTTATTAATATACTTAGCCTGCTTTCTAATTTTCTCCAAAGACATCTATTAGATAACTTTTGTTCAGATAGACTTGTGGTCCCAGGGTCATCCAGTGGATGAACAGAAATGAAAAGTCTGGCCTTGCCAAGCTAAATCCATAATTTCCCCCCATCCTCCCCTTGATATTTCAAGTCATTGGCCCATATAGAGCTAATGAGATATGGAGACACCCCTAAACACCGAGAAAGGAAATCCTAATATTTCTCCCAAGCATTGAAGGCCATGTTTAATCTCAGGAGGGAGCAAAGAAATAACAATGCACAGACCATTATGAATATTTTGGAAAAAAAACCTCTCTTTTGTATATGAGCAATTCTTTTTTTCTGAAACAGAAATGGGATTTTCTGCATGGCAATAAACCTACAGAAGAGCTTCTCAATGAAAAGCGGACTCTGAAAATAATCTCCTATAGTTTATGTAGCTTTTAGGTCAAACTACCCCACTACAAACATCTGCTGAAATATGTCTGAAACAGAAAAGAAGATAGCTGACGTTGGTTTTTTCTTCTTCTTTAGCTTGCAAATGAAAGTTACTGAATGCCCTCAGTTACACTTTAACTTCTTAGAACTCTTCCCAGGAAAAACAAAACAAAACGCTAAGAGTCAGGATTTACAATACAGATCGACTTTTCTCCGGTTTTTCAGGTTCCAGTTCTGGTTCAATCCATCATGTCACCCTTGGCTATTAATGCACGCATGCGCAACTTGAGGGGGAAAAACAAAACAAGATAAGGGGGTGAAAGAGAAAATGCAACAACAACAAAAATGTTGGTTAATATTTATACCGAAATAGAATAGCAGTCAAACACTCAGGATACAAATATACTTGTGTACAACAAGATAGAGAAGACTTTATATTTCTTAAAAAGAATTAAAATAATCCACACAGAAGCAATAAGACTGCATTGTGAAACTGTAGGATGAAATACAAAGTTTAAATCAACATTTCCTTTTAAATAGCAGATTGTTATTTAACAAGGCAGACTAAATGGCAACAACTCTCCATTCTTTGCTAAAAGTCTATCACCTTTTAAAGTAAGCAATTAAGTGCAATTTATAATAGGCAGTGATTGTCTTTCAGGGAGCGTGGTGATAGTGTCTCTTGGACTTCCCCAGGAGATTGATTTGTATAAACTATCATCATTTTTGAGGACCAAAAGTGATATTAATCACTATATTTGAAGCAACTTCTTTCCCTCTGTTATTGCCCTTATTTTCATCTTTGTTATTTCAGACTGATAAGATATGATGCCATCTGGGTGGTGGGGGTAAAAAAAAAAGCTTTAATGTACTGTATTAAAATAGACTGTATTAAATATTATGATTAAATGCTGGCTGCCTGCTTAAGGTAGTGGCCACAAACTTCATCCTAGATTTACATTTTATTGATAAGAATTATATCAAAATTACCTCTCCCCTATTGCCCAATGTGACCAATCCTGAGGCTCACTCTGATACTAAGATAACTTGTCTGGCCCCTCTTTGACAATAAATAATGCCAATATCAAATCTCCAAAAAGATGTTCTCCAAATATATACCTTTCCAGGAAAGCAGTGAGGAACATTTCAGTTTAGGTTAGCTTTGCAAGACTGGCATTCTCCTAGCCTGTAAGATTGTAATTCTTGTTTTATCCTACCAAATAGGATGGGCATGTTAGGTATTCTAGATTAAGACCTCTGGAAAGTATCAGTTTAGGCAAAAGAAGGTATCACTCAAACATTGTATGGAAACATTAGTGCCTTTTTGCTTGCATGAGGCTGATTTAAGTTTAAATTTCTATTTTCCTGGATTTTGTAGAGGCACACTTCTATGTGAATGGGAATGCAAGATATAAGACCCTGACTGAATCAGGACTACTCTCTGCATATCCTGATTCTCAGTATTCCTATTGGAAGAAAAAGCAATTGATTTCAATGGCATTTGTGGCATGTAACTTTGTTTAGGATGTAGATGAAATCTATGAATAGCTGACTGCCAGATATCTGCTTAGATGGAAGGGGAAAAAAGGAGAAAGAAAGTTGGCAAGTGAGGCCAATGATGAAATGTGTGAAATGCTTGGATGGCTGCCTATGTGTGTATTCAAGGGTGAACGTGCAGGTAAGAGCACAGCAGCAGAAACTACCCATAAATGACAAGGACTTCCTTGCTGTGGAGGGGCAGATAAGTCAAATGTTAGACTAGACTATTGAAGGTCTGTGGTGATTAAGGAACAAGTGAACAAATGGGATTCTACTGTTTGAACCCATGCTTGTCATTGACAGGTTGTGCTAAAAGCATTGGGCAGTGTCAGCCTTGCCAGGTAAACCAGACAGGAAATATCAGAAATAACATAGCCTTTATTGTAAGGCTTAATTAACAGAATCTTGAAATTCTGAAAGTATTTATCTCCTGACATCTCCTTTACAGCCTGAAAAGCTAGGGAGGGTCACTTCAGAGCTTTTTGCTCTGCTTTGTAGCTGTGGGCTATGCCATTTCTTACCTGGCTATTCCCATGGCAGTATCTCTTCATCCATCTCTCAAAGTCTTCCTCACATACAAGTGGGTAGGGTGCATCACGAAACCTAGTGTAGGAACTGCTCGAATAGCCAACAAGTCATTCTTTAGACCAGTCCTTCTCAAATTGGTGCCCTGGAGATAAATTGTACAGCAGCTTCCAGAATCGTCAGCTAATATAGCCTCTGCAATGGGGCTTGTTGTTCTCTCTGTACTGTGATGAGGTACAATATTTGTAGACAAACAGGTGTTCTTGGCTGTACAGACCTGGGTTAAAAAGACCTCAAGATAGCTTTCTTTTGGAATTAGGTGTCTGGTCCATAGACAGTTGTGCCATTTGTGGAACCTTGGGAACTATTCCAATGGCTAAAATGCAACTGGAACAACAGGAATCGTATTTATCTCACACTTTAATGTATGAGAATGAGGATAACATTTCCAGACGATAACCTCCTCCTCCTCTTCTCCTTTGCTTGACTTTTAAAACCATGGCAAATGTGCTTCAGTACAACTATATGCATAGTTTTGCATTTATTTATTTATTTATTTATTTATTTATTTGTCATGTTTATGTAGTGTATATTAGAAGTTCCCTTTGAAAGCTGTATGCAACGAAATTTCATTTTAATGTATGCCGACTAGTGGACATTCAAAGTGACAATAAAGTTATTCTAAGTCTTCAGTGACGGGTTGTGTCAACATTACTTGGTGGCCTGTCACTGGGTGTCTGGATTAAGGTAACCGAGGTGGGGTGGGAGAGTGACGGAGTCCTGTGGTGCATAACTCGAAAACGGAGCCGCACCGTGTCTGAGGAAAACAGGGGACACGGCCCAGTCACGCCTTCAGACACGTGCGCTCTCCCGCCTCAAATGGCTTCTCGTCTCCTCTCTGTCCTCCAGGTGTTCCTCGGGCAGTGACTGGCCGGAGCCCAAGACGTGGGAAAGCAAAGGCCGAGCGACAGGAGGGCCGTGACGGTCAATGTTGTTTGAGCAGGCGCCCGAGGCCTTGGCGACCGCAGAGCCCAAGATGCAGAAAACCGCCTACTACGACAACTCCACGCTCTTCGGGGCCTACGGCGGCAGTGGCGGCTACGGCAAAGCGGACGCCTACGGCTACACCACAGGCCCGCCTCAGCCCTACGCCCAGCCCGCTCTGGAGACTGACTACCCCGGGTCGGCTTGCTCCCTCCAAAGCGCCGCCCCTATCCGAGGAGCGCCCCCTGCCCACAAGAGCTCGGAGCTCGGCGGAAGCTGCATGCGGCCCGGCGGGGGGAGTCAGGCGGTCCCTCAGCCGCCGCCGGGGCTGGGCGACCAGCAGCCGCCTCAGCAACAACCGCCGCCGCCCCCTACGCTGCCCTCCCCCTCCCCGCCTAACAACGCCGCCCACGCGGGGTCTGCCAAGAAGGGCAAAAGCGGGCCTAATTCTTCCAACGGCTCCCCGGCCACGATTAGTAAGCAGATCTTCCCCTGGATGAAAGAATCGCGGCAGAACTCCAAGCAGAAAAACAATTGCCCGCCCGCAGGTATCCAGCTCTTTTACCTGGGTACCTATGAGGGCGGGGTTCTTCTTCAGCTGGCTCCCTCTGAGAGGATGATGTGGCATGGAAGTCATTGAAACATGAGAGGCCCTGCTAGGGCAGACCCAAAGCCCATCCAACATTTCCCCCCTACCCCTTGCTACTAAACTGATACCCAGGGAATGCCCTCAGTAGTCGGCCTGCTTCTAGCAATCTGCCTCTGAAACCATTCTGAGACACCATTTTGTGGTGGCCCCTGACAGCCCCTTTCTTCCATCCGAGAGGAAGAATGCCATAAAAGCAAATAAACAACTGCATAACTGTAATTAATTCTGTTATTGCCCTTTTTAGAGCCCTTTGTTGAGCTATCAGGCAAGGCCACTTATTTATTTATTTATTTATTTATTGGATTTGTATGCCGCCCTTCTCCCAAAGGACTCAGGGCGGCTCACAACAATAAGAAACAGAAAATACAAAAGTTAAAGGACAAAACAGAATATCCAATAAATAAGGTTAAACGTGGGAATACAAATTCAAATTTAAGATTTAAGGGTTTAAAAAGCTACAAAACCAATTTAGAGTCAACCCAGGCCCTCCCGTTGGAAGAGCCAGGTCTTCATGTAACAGCCAGGTGAAGATACTATTTCTCCTTCCACACTTGGGGCCTTTTGGTGGGACTGATTGGGCACAATAGGAATTGTAATCTTACACATTTTAAGATCGCTAGTTTGGGGGGAAAGCAGCCTTTAATTGATATGTAGGCAAGATTCAGGATTCTGCCCCCTCCCCTCCATTTGGTGAAAAGACTTGTGGTGTCACACCCCAGTTTTTGAAACTTAGCTGTCTGTCCTAGGCAGACAGCTGGGTGGAGATGTCTTGTAGACATAAGTACAGCTTGTAACATCAACCCATCCTTGTTTGAAATGTATTCCTCTTCTAGACTTGATAATGCAGGATTCCTCATAAGAAGTTCCCTACTGAAAACAAACTTTATAAATTATATTAAAATCAATGCCACTTTTCATGTAAGAACATGTACCTGAAAATGTCCTATATCAACCTATGGGATTTAGTTCTTACTTGGCTGAATTTGTAAATTGAACAGAAAAGAAATGAGATATTTGAGGAGCTCACTCTCCGTGTTACAGTATTTCAAAGTTGAGTAACTCAATATATTTTTCAATATATGGTTGCCGATGTTCTTTATTTTTAAAATACATCTTTTCTTTTTCAAAGAGCCTTTATGTTAACACGTCATGGCTCTGAATTAAATATTAACCATGCTGCTTAACTTTTTTAAAAAAATAACAAGCTGTACAGCCAGGGCTAACTAATAAGTCCTTGCTTGAAGCCAAGGACCAAATTATACTTTCCCCAGCTCTGTCCAAGTCATGGTATGTTCTACTCAAAATTAGGCAACTAATTATGGCATAGGAAAAAGAAATCCCTCAAGTTCTTCTCCACACCACCTCATTACAAAATATATAAAAAAACCACTCCCCTTTGTGATATGCATAGATCTGAAGCCTGGGACAGTTGTGTTGGTCAGCCTAATGGCTGTCTCTAGGAGACCATCCCTCTCAATTTCTTTTGCTCTTTTATAGAGAATCTAAAAAATCATTTGAGATGCCTAAATGCTAGTAATTCCAAAGTGGATGATGAAACCAGAGATGAGACTGTCTCCAACTGGGCGTGGCCTCCTCCTCTAAAGCCACCCTGCTGACATAATTTTCTAATCCAGCAGGAGGAGGTGCTGGGACTTTACTTGATGGCCCCCACATTCCTCCCCTTTTCAAAATTGTCTGATGTGCAGAGAGAGGGAGGAGCAGTGCAGACCCAGATCCTGATAGTTGACTCTTTCTGATTTTGCTGCTCAGTTGGGTGAGGGAGAGGCGGGGACTTTTCTCATGGGGATCTCCAGCTCAGCAGCCTTCCCAATAGTTAGAGCACTATCTCAGAGATAATCAGCTCACTTGGGGCTCTCACTGCTGCATTGTCTTCAGAGTTTGGAGCCTGGGTCCTGTCCTGTTTGGATCCCTTCGATAGACCTTCCTGAGTTTTGTCAGGGGATCAATTGATTTCTCCAATTAAATTAGATGATTTACAGCTCTCTTGCCAGAAACTGGAACTTTTCTATCCCTTTGAGGCTCCTCCCGCCCCCCCCCCGCCCCCCCCCCCCCAAGCATCCAGCTTCAATCACTGGCTGTCCAAATAGGTATAGAGATGAACCTAGTTTCTTGTTATCCACTTTGTGGAATGGGTGGATGAGATGAGGTGGAGGGCTAAGAATTTCAATGGTACGGCTGGTGAGAAGAAAAACGCCAAAATGATCTAAGGCTTTGTTGGAAGCATCCCTTGGCGTGCATTTTGCTTTCCCTGATTATGAGGCAGGGGCCTTCACATATTGATTGTAATTGTGCAAAGCGCTGAGACCTGGGCTCTTTTGAATTTACTGTGAAAGCCAGCTTCAAACGGAAGGGAGGGGAGGAGGGCAGGAATTAAGGGAAGGGAATACAGCTGAAACTGCAGTGGCGGTGGCGCTGTTGATGCCCTGCATTGATCATCTACCCCAGAGACTGCTCTGAAAATTACTGAATAGTGTCCGTTCAGAGTGCAGTGTGAATGGCTGGACCCGAATTGAGCATTCAGAGTTGTTCAGGCATATTTTTCACATTGGCATTCAGTCCACTGCAGCTTCGGAATACCAAAAGGTCTTCAGCTTTCCATTCTACAACAACCTCTGCCCACATCTGCCAGGGCACTCTGCATGGTGGATATCACCCAGTGGGGTAACTCAAGCAGCCCATTGACCTATCTCTTTTCTTTCTCTTTGACAGGAGAGAACTGTGAAGACAAGAGCCCGCCTGGCCCAGCTTCCAAGAGAGTCCGCACAGCCTATACCAGTGCTCAGCTGGTGGAGCTGGAGAAAGAATTCCACTTCAACCGCTATCTCTGTCGTCCGCGCCGTGTGGAGATGGCAAACCTTCTCAACCTGACTGAGCGTCAGATCAAGATCTGGTTTCAGAACCGTAGGATGAAATACAAAAAGGACCAGAAAGCCAAAGGGATTATGCACTCCCCGGTCGGCCAGTCTCCAGACCGAAGTCCACCCCTAAGCGGTCCGAGTCACGTTGGCTATACCAGCCAGTTGCCCAGTGTTGGGACCCTGAGCTATGACACTGCCCCATCACCAACCTCCTTTGCCAAGTCGCAGCAAAATCTGTATGGCCTGGCTGCCTACACAGCTCCTCTCAGCAGCTGTTTGCCCCAGCAGAAAAGATACCCTGGAGCTGAGTATGACCACCACACCATGCAAAGCAATGGGGGTGGTTTTGCCAACCCTAGTTTGCAGGGTAGCCCTGTCTACGTTGGAGGAAACTTCGTGGATTCCATGCCAGCCTCCGGCCCGATGTTCAACATCAGCCATCTCTCTCACCCTTCCTCTGCTAGTGTGGACTACAGCTGTGCTGCTCAGATCCCCGGCAACCATCATCATGGACCTTGTGACCCCCACCCCACCTACACAGATCTCACTTCTCATCACACATCTCAGGGAAGGATTCAGGAAGCCCCCAAACTAACACATCTGTAGTAAAATGGAACATATGGAGAGAAAGAGAGGGAGAAAGGGGGGAAGAGAAAAGAAAGAAAGAAAAAGAAAGAAAAAAGGAATGAAAGAAAGAAAGAAAAAGATCCTCATGTTTCAATTACCTCACTTTTTCCTGATAATTATTTTTCAGAATCCTGAGTGTTAGTGGATTGTGTGTATGCGTGTGTGTCCAGTAACAGCTAAATTATCTTGTTTATTTCATTGACAACTCCTGAACTCTATGGTTTTGTTTTCTTTTCTTTTTGAATTAAAAGAAGTTTTAAAGCATGACAGTGCAATATCCTTTAAAAATAATTCCCATAATTGGTAAAGATGTACTGAAAAGTAAGTTGTAGAAATTTGTTAGTATTAGCAAAACATGAGTACTGATGAGGAGTTAAAGACAGTTGGGACCAAAATGAGGACCTTATTCCAGAGATGTTAATTTATGGGATCCTTCAGCAATGTGGACAATTGCTTTGGACTGAAATAAGATGTATTTATTATTTTAATAACTTTTTAAAAAATACTCATTATTTAATCTTGGCCTTCAGTGTATTTATGTGGATATTTGTAGAATTTCTTCATTCCCTTCTCCCTAATTTTGAAAGTTTAATTCAGGTCTTTGATAACTATACATTTTCACCTATTTAGTATATTTGATCTGAAATAGAAAGAGTAGTTTTGAACAGTTGTAACAGTGGCTGGTGTTTGTAGTTTATGTAAGGATTAAGCAAATTGTAAGTCAAGTCATAGATTAATACAAAATTGAAGCATTATCACAAACAGCCGTTACATTTTAAAACATATAAATATACAACATATTAATTTATTCCATGATTTTTTGGTATCCTTTTACTTTTAAAATGTTTAAAAATATTTAGGGTGGGAGTGCATCTTATTTAAAACTATTCTCTCCTCTGGCAATTGGGTTTTGGCCATCTTTGACATCCATAAACCATCCAAGAAACTATTGTTATAATGCAGTTCCATACTTGTTTTCTCAGAGGTAAGCTCCATTGAGTATAATGGAATTACTTCAGCTATGAGTGTCTCAAATGAGATCTTTACTATCTATTACAGAGACCATTTTGTCGTGTTGTTTTAACGTAAAATAGCCAAAACCTTCAGATAGATTAGAAACAATATGCTATTGATGTCATTTAGTATTTCCACAGTAATTCAAACTAAGAACTATCCCTTTCAGTTGTTATTATTATTGTTATATTATTTATATGCTATTTATGCTAATCATAGATCAATTTTGTACACCTTATCAGAAACCAGAACTTACTTTTGCTGATTAAGGAGGAAAAGGAGAAGACAAATTTTGAATGAAATATTGACAATCAAGTATCTACAAGGAAAGACTGTAGTAGGGTGTAGGGAAATCTGAATGGCTTTTGAGATAGGAAATTACTAGATCTATCAATATTTAATATAGTTGTTTGTAGCAGGCATTGATGCAATCCTCATGTAAACAAATGTTTCTGCCTGAAGCCTAATATGGACAAGGAACACAAACATCCTTCCTGGGCTCCCACTTTCTTTATTTATGTATTGTATTTAATCTATCCCTGGATTTATTATAAAGTGTTCCTCAGCATAAAAGTGACACTAGGTAGATGTTAGAAGCTACAGCTGTCCATTCATTCAGAAAGAAGCATTTCTTACTGTCTTCCAGATGGCTCAGTTAGGATGCAGATCTTTGGAAATGCCTTGGACAGGGGCAGAGGGAAACCTCCCATTTCGGCTTGACTAATAGTGCCATTCCATTTCTGTGCATCCTGATGGCAGCTCCTGCAGTTCTTTTTGTTGGAAGAGGATTTTCACTCTTACATTTGTGTCTGACTGAACAATGATGGTGACAGTATATTTAAAAATCATGTTATTGCCCCTCATTCCTTTTGCTGTTTTTTTTAAATATACCATGTTAACAATGAAGATGGAATATGTACCCTTTTGTTAAATCTCACTTTTATCCAAGTGTTGTAAATCTGTAAACAAGACAGAATAAACAGCTTCGAATGAAGAAATATTTTAACCACTTCTGGATCTAAAGTTGCTTTCTATGACATTTTGCTTTTTCTAAAATGCACACAGAGCTATTATAAAACCATAATATGCACAATCAGTAAGCTCTGATTTGAGCAAGTACATAATCCCTAGAAAGTCTTCCAGGAAATTCCTGGATATCAACATTGATAAATAAATAATACGTCTAATTTATTTTGTGTTCCTCATAGGACATATTTTATTTTCAACGCCTATAAATCAAAACTAGGCATATGGAATGTAACTTGGTAGGCCTTTCTAGGATGTCCTGATATGATCCGCAGCTTCATGTTTTATGGACTTAACTTCAAATCGCATCTGAACTGTTTTGTGTTATTTTTCTTCCCTAAAGTCACATGAAGTGAAAGCAAGTTATGAACCTTCTGGGAATGGGAGAGAGAAACAGAACTACTGATACACACAGATAAACACAACTAGTCTTGGTATAGAGATAACTTTATTTTCAAACTTTTCATTGGGAAATCTTGCAAATCAAGCCTGGCATTTTGGTAATTAAACTGTGATCAAGATCATTGCACAAAGATTTTTATTTCTTTTGATTGAAGTCAAGTCGTGCCTGAAGGACCACGTTTAGAATTGTGTTGGGTGATGTAAGTTGAGATGGAAAAATCATAAACCAATTGGAAATAAATCTTGCCTTGTCTCTATTTTCTATGGGTGGTTTTTTTTTTTTTGTCTGACTGCAGTGGGCCAAGAACACCACTATTCAGGGGTTAAAACAAATTACTTGGCAAAAAGCCTCTCCTATTTCATTAGCATTTACTTCCATATAAACAAGTGTGGGATTTGTGTCCAAGAAGGAAGAGAGATGGAATGCCATTTTTTGCAATGGCAAAATTCTATTTATTTTATTCAATTTCTATACCTGTGCATAGCAATCCAATTGATTCTTGCTCCTGAGTGTAATATTGTGTGATAATAAAATATAATTTCTGGCTCAAAGTTTCTCCTGCTATTTAGATTTTAGTAATGTAGAAACGAGCCATTTCCACATGTAAAATCTGCTCTGTCCCTGAACTATTGTGTTATCTGAAAGAACTACAGCATACTGGAATAGGGTCTACTCTTAAGATCTCAGCCTTTATGAAAAAAACAGCGTTTTTTTCCAAGGAACTTCCAGGCTCTGTGGTTTCTAAGGAGAATAGGGAAGGACAGAGGAGGACATTTCCATTTAACTTTACAAAATCATAGCAAAGCTGAAAATGCATTTCTTGAAGATGTGCCTCTTTTTAATTATTTGAAGCTTAAGGACCAACCTTGGGGCCAGGTGTCTTTATTTAGCTATCTCAGGTCCTAAACCTGCACCAAAAACAAAATGCGATCAGATTTTGAAATATAACCTTTTTCAAGTCTGTACTACCGCAACTTTCATTACAGACTTACCGTTGTCTCACCTTAAAAGTTTATTATCGATTTCCACCACCCACCCCTTGTTTTCTGCAGCCTGTGGGGTGGGAAGAGCAGCACTAAAGATTACATCTGTAGTGTAGGAACCTTTCTGAAATCGTTCTCTTCTCCCTTTACGCCTAAGCATATTTCTCGGAAAATAAATCTCAATCAAAAGTATTGGGCTGAATTACCAGGAAGTTTATGTGAATGCCTCTCCATAATCCCTAAACGGAGCGGGTATATATTTTCCTCTCTTCCTTTCCAGCTACAGCCCACTTCCCTCTCTTTGTAGGCAGAATTGCCGACCTTCCTAAAGCTGGAAACAGGTCTGTATCCATCATCTGTACTGCCAATTACTGGTAGTACAGTAGTCAGATAAACAATACAGTAGCGTTAACAACAGCAATAGCAGCAGAGCCATCATTTTGGGGAGAAACTTTGAGTTGATCGCGAACGTCTTGCTCCCTAACTGATTGTTCTTTTGTCCCCGTGGTCAAAAGAGAGCATGCATTGCTTGTCCTGCCTGCCTGCCTGCCTATCTTCTCCCTCATCCTTTTGACTGGCCCCCTTTCCTCCATTCTTCCCTTCTTCACCATCGGCGGATGAGCTTGTCGAGCTGGCCACAGTTGGATCACGCGGGATCTATTCTACTCGGCTCCAAATCGGCAGCAACCTGCCCGCGGATTCCCATTTCCCTGCTGAGCTGCGACCCGCGGGGCTTAAAAAAAAAAAAAAAAAAGGAAGGGGGGGGGGCCGCGCGCGGGGCCCCGCGCCCCGGAAACCCCGGGAACCCCCCCCCCCCCATCCCGCCCCTAGCGCGAGGCTTCGTTCCAAAGGGCAGCGGCGCGGAGGAAGGGCTCGAGGCGCTCAGGGATTCATCCTCCCACACTGGAGGAAAATTGCCGCCGGCGTCCTCTTCCCTCATTGGCTTGGAGCAGAGCCCGGTAGCTAAGCAACCTCGCACGGAGAGGGCACCGCTAAGGCGGGGTCAACGGGGATCGCTGAGCCGAGTTCTGCGCCAGGCTGCAGAGACGCGCCGGCAGCGCCTGACGCGCCTCGCCTCGCCTCTGCCCGTCTTCCCGCTTTCCCGCCTCTCCTTTCTCTTGCCTCTCGCGCTGCCGTGTGTGCGAACAAAGGGGTAGCCATGTTTTTCTTGTAGTCCTCCCTCAATGCCGAAGTCGCCCGTTTCTGCAAGGCGGCGCGGTTTTGGATCCTGGAGGCGGGGGAAAGACGAGAGAGGAATCTTTCAGGATGGGAGGCGGCTCCTGTTCTTTTTTTTGGGTGTGTGTGTGTGTGTGTGTGTGTGCCCGAAATGCTTCTTCCTTCCCGAAGAGGCTATAAGTTGCAGCAGCCACACTCAACCAAGGGGCATCCCTCAAAATAACTCCAGCAGGCTCATCCCGTGCATCTAGGAATGGAGGAGAGATAGCCTTGTAAGGCTTACCACCTCTGAGAACAGGCCTTGTGGAGGAAATTTGGGAGTTGCTATGCTTTTGTCTGCCGTTCGGAGGGCATCAGTCATTGTACGTGTACTTGGGAGCTTTTCCTTCTAAGAGGATGAGTTCCTCCACACAACAACAATAGTACACTGTGTATGCTAGCTAAAGCAGTTCCCTTTGGTTGAAATAGTAAGGTGCAAAGGATCAGGCAAAGAGTATTGTATCAATGTTTTTTGTTTTTTTTTAAGAATGGTAACTCAGAGCAAGTAGTGTAGTTCTGGTGGAAAAATGTCTTTTGTCTTGGATCCATTGCAGAGATTCAGATGAAATATTTGAATTTGAGATTACATGTCATCCTAAATGCAAGCACTGAATTACAAGTGCATGTTAGATCTCCTAGTTTCAGTGTATAACCAGCTCAAAAACACCTTAGTGAAATAGAATATAATGAAATAGAGTAATGTCTTTGTATAATTAAGCCACTATTCAATCTTGTGCAGCTTTTCTGAAAAATACTGAAAGATATTAGAAATATGTCTAAATGAGGCAATGATTAGGACTAAAAATAAGGAATTACATATCTAATCTATACAGGGAGCCAACAATGCAGTCTGAAGGAACCATAGCAAATGCAATAAATATGTTCAAATGATAGTATCTGATGAAGTGGACTGCGGTCCATAAAAAATTATGCCGTGGTATATTTGCTAACCAGTATGGTGCAATAAGACTTTGTTGCTTTAGGAAATCATATCTTGTCTTGTTTCTGCAATAGGCAAAATTTGGATGCCAGCAGAATTTCTGCTATCAAACAAGGGCAGCTGCTGCTGGGGGCAATGGTAGAGAGCGGTGCTAAAGAAAGGCAGAAGGAAGAGGAGAGCTGGAGACGCATCTGGAGATGAGGCAAAAAACCCCTTTAATTAGGATCTTGTGAGACAGACACAGAGAATTGTCTCCAAAATGAAGAGGAGGAGGAGATGGGAATGACAAGAGATGCAAGGTTGCCTTTTAAATTTGGAATTGGTACATCTGCCCACTCTTAACGGCATTTTCCAGTGAAAATTTTGATCTGAAAGATCTTTCCTGGTTGATATTTCCTTGACCATCTTACTGCTGTCACCCTTTCCCCAAACACACCCTAGAAAAAGAAAAACATTTCTGAGTGAGATTTTTTCTCTCCAACAGCCAAAATAGAAATGGCCATGGAGGAACCAGAGCCCGTTTTAAAATTGGAAGGGCAGTCCTGTAGCTGGCCAACTGGACACAGCAGATCAAGAACCCTCTAAAGATGACTTTCATATGACATTGAATGTTTGCATAAATTTGTCAATTTTAAAAATAAAATAAAAATATCATTTTCCTACCTGCTTACTTTGAACAATCTTCAACCTGCCTAACAATAGTATGGTCCCAGGATGGGGACTCCATTGTAAAGGATGTTTCCTCAACAAATAATCAGCAAGTTGTCTCAGAGCTAGGGCAAGGAGGCCTCAAGGCCACATGGATAAACAGAGATGGAGGAGCAAGGTTTCACAGAAGTTCTACTGTATGTATGCATCATATTTATGTAGCTGCCCATATCACAGATGTAGAATGAGGGAAACAACTGGGTGTTCAAGCCCTAGAGAAGAGAAGATTAAGGGGAGATATGTAGACAGTTTTTCAAAACTTAAAAAAGTAACCTGCAGAGGATGGAAAAGAAAACCTTTCTCCTTTGCTTCAGAGAGGTTGGGTGGAAATGACAGAGAAGCCATGTCAGCTTAACAATAGAAGAAACTCTGAAAGCACAAGCAATTCAACAGCAGAAAGGACTGATTTATAAAGTAGCAAAGATTCCACTGCTGAAGGTATTTAAGCACAGACTGGACAACCAGCCGTCAAGGATGTTTTAATTGAATTCTATACTGCTGATCCTAACTGGCAGGATATAAAATAGGTGACCCTCGTCCATTTCTAATTCTATGGTTCCTCTACCCTGTATCAGCAAGCAAGTTCTGTTACCACAGGAATAATCTAAATTATTCTAAATAATCTTGTAATAGAATCATAGGATTGGAAATAACATCAAAGGACATATAGTCTAGTAGTCAATCGTGTACTAATACAGGACATAATTCTAGTCAGAAACTCTAATGAAAGAAATTCCAGTTCCCTTTCTAGTCATTCTGTTCAATTGCCAAACGGCTTTTACCATTAAGTTCTAGTTAATGTTTAATTTTATTGAAATTTGTACTCATTGGCTCAAGTCCTATCATCTGGAGCACCAGAAAACACATTTGTTCCATCAGCTATATGGCAGCCCTTCAGCACTTGAAAATTACTATATTTCAGGCTCTTAGTTGTGATTTAGATTGTAGTAAAGCTAAACAAACCTAACTCTAGCAGTATTCCCTCAGGACTTCGTTTTTAAGGTTTTGACCAACTTTGTTGCTCTCATTGGTACATACTTAATTTTGTAGAAATTCTTATTAAATGGTAAGCAGTCTGGATGAAATTTTCTCAAAATCGAATAGATTGGTTCATTTATTTTTAGTGTCTGTAGCATACAGTACTTCTGTTGACTACATTAGCCCTAAATATAGAACTTCAGATTTTTCTATGTTTGGGAACTTTAATCTAGTTTACATTTTGTCAAAATCATCTTGAACTTTCTTTTTGTTTTCCAGGGCAGGAGTGAATAAACTTTTTTGGAGCAAGGAATTACATTTTTGGAACAAGGAATTACATTAAATAAACTTTTTGGAGCAAGGAATTAAATTTCTATCCTCTTCATTATTCTGCTTCTACCCACTTTTTGAGTGTATCCTCTAGCATGATTCCCAAACTCAAGAATGTTTCTTGACTTTGAGAATCATGCTAGAGGATACACTCAAAAAGTGGGTGGAAGCAGAATAAAGAAGAGGGTAGAAATTTAATTCCTTGTATCACATGAAAAGTGTTTAGCAGCAGCTTTTGGAGGTTCTCAGGGAAAACACATGCCAGGGTCTGGGGCAGCATGGCTCTCTGCAAATGTATCACACACAAATAAATAGATTTGATGGTCCCCTACTTAGTCAAAACAATTTAAAAAGATAAATGTTTAAAGCATTTATTGCAATGATATGATTACTTATCAAAAACATAAACATAATTATATAAATCATTTATAAATATATTAAAACAACATTGGGCAAGATGCTCCAGGAACCTTTTTATTCTTGGTGAAACACTATATTTTGATTGGGCTTAGGTAGGTATTAATGCAAGTATGTTATTCTGTTTATTGATTTTGTTCAATACAAATGCCCATTGATATTTACATTCCATTTTTATTATTACTGTATTATCCAAATAATGATTCAATAATTGCATTATTTAAATAACATTTTGAGACATTATAATATTTACTCCAACCTTCCCTTTTTAGACAACTTAAGATCACAGTTTCCATAACTCCCAGCCATCATAGTACAACAAGAGGCCATCTCCATAATGAGGGAACTAATCTTTCTGATTTAAAAAAAAGTTATCTCATTGAAAGCAGTAGGATACAAATACCGTAATTAAACAGCTATTTTAAATGCAAATCTATATAGCTAAAATGTGATGGGAACACTAACTTATCTTCTTAAGAATAGGCTGTTCCACAGGTTGAGGCTACCCTGTAAAGATTCTGGCTATGAGTTCTTGCAGAGAAGTGAGTGTTCTCACTAGTAGCAAATGCATCAGATGGCTCGTTCAGCTATCTGGAGGAAGTGGTCCTTAAGATACCTAGGAGCCAAGCCACATAGGGCTTTGTAGATGTAAATTAACACTTTTAATGGTACTGAGAAATCTGCTGAAACCCACAGCAGTCTCTATAATATAGGTGTAATATGTCCCTAACAGCTCTTACCCACCAGTTATAGTTTCTGAGTAGACTTCAAAGTCTATGTAAAATGTATTGCAGTGGCAATGATGGTGTAATATTAGCAGGACTTCCTGCTTTAAATGATGCAACTGCAACTGATATATCAACCAAAATTGGCAAAAGCCCTCCTGGCCAAAACTTTCACCTGGAAATCTAACAATATCAGCAAGACCAGAAGGACACCTAAATGGTAGATTTCTTTCTTCTGAGGAAGTACCACCCCACTCAAGAGTTCAGACCAGAGCAAAAACACAGCATGATGATTTCTACTGTGGAGCAGCTTCAGTTCCATCTTATTAGGGTTCAGCTTCAACCTGTTCCATCCCATTCTGGCCTTACAACATCCAGAGAAAGGGTCAAGACCCTAAGGAATTGCACAAGAGTGCTTGAATGGAATGAGACCTGCCACTGATTGGTACTGTCAATTTAGAAAGGAGTGGAATCTGTATAAAGCATTACCCCGACCACCGACCCTACAGGTAATCTAGGAGAGAAAATACCATTGCCAGTGATACTAGACACAAATCAGAGGTCAAATGGGATTAAGAGGGCTGCTCTGTGTGCTCCTCCCATTCAATCCCAAACAAGGTTGTCTGCCAGAGCAACCATGCTGTTTCTGGTCTAGGTACACAACATTCAGCCCTGCAGAATGAATACACATTCTTAAACATATGACAAAATTCACCATTGAACTCTTCATCTATGACGTGACCCTCAGTACTAAGATCACCAGATGAGAATGTATCATTAAATGGAATGTACCATTAAAATGAATCGGTTGGGCAAAGTGATTTCTCATTTTTTAATTTTACTCACTTCAAGTACTGCACTGAGCACACAAAGCTATCTTCTTTTATACTTAGTTGTAAGAACTGAAATTGAGGTCAATTGACATTTTTACCAAGATCAGTCAAATATGAAAACAAGCACCATCAAATTCTATGGACTTCTTCAGAATGAAGGTGTATAGAATAGGACTGATAAGATGTTCATCTCTGTCTACATCAGATGCAATGGTTTTAAATGACATGGGAAAACATTAATGTCTTGGTCCCAACATTAAATCCCCACTGATTTCAATTAGGGTTATTTCAAGACATCTGAAAAAGGCAAACTTGCAAGAGAGCAGTGAGCCCTTAATCTTTTCTGTTTGATCTGTTTGTTATCCTTATGTTGGGCAGTCCTGTACTTCAATGGAGAAAGGCCTTGGGTATCAAGGCCATGTCAGAGTAGGTTAACTCTTCTATTAGGATCAATTAAATAAAAAAGTGCTTCCTGGATTTCTTTACCAAGGTTTATGTATGTTTCATTTTACAACATTAGAAGAACTCAAGTATCTGTTTTGATCCTTCCTCATGGCTGAGTTGCTTCTCATCCATCCCTGAGTTAGGGGAAACTATATTGGCCTGGAATTGGCTGATCCTATTGCCAATTCCTATTCTGCTTCTGATGTTTTTGATGATGAGCTGAAGGCAACATTTGGGGGTCATACAGAAAAAAAAAGATATTTCCAGGCCAAATTTGTGCCTTAATTAAGGGCATCTGGAAAAAGGTCCCTTGTATCATTTGATAAATAGAAACGCTTTAGGCACTTACAGTATTTTTCTGTTTTCTTAGGTTTCTGGGTTTCTGGGACCTGCATGGCTATCTTTTTTAAACTACCAGTTGGACATCCTAATGGGCCTTTTCAATTTCTCCAACCTGTTACTTTTCAGGCATCTCTGAATGCACCCAATTCAATGGCCATCATAAACATGGGGGCGCTGGGAATGATGAGGGCTAGAGTCCAAACATTTCTGAGAATACCTGAATAGTAAGCCTGATTGTTAGTGTGTGTGTGCATGCATGCACACAAACATTGTCTTTGAGTCAGTATTGATCCTAGTGACTGCCTTGACAAAGTCCTTGCAATTTTCTTGACAAGATTTCAGAAGTGATTTTGCCCTTGCCTTCTTCTGACTCCAGGGCTGAGAGAGAGCGGCCCACCTGGCTTTGTGCCTGAAGTGAGACTAGAACTCGCAGCTTCCTGATTTCTAGCTTGCTGCCTTAACCACTACATACTGTCTCTCTAAGCCCACCTTAAAGCAATGTAACTTTTATGATTAATAATGGGAAGTTTCCTGCAGTCAAGCTTGACTCCTGGTGCTTTAACAGATCAATCCAGGTAGTTTTCCAGACAGCAAAACAGAAGTGGGTTTTCACTTTTCTTTTCAGATTTTTGTTTTTGTTTTACTTACTCATCTAGTTTACATTCCTGGGATTCTCTTCTCTCATTTACTTTCTTAAACAACCTTGACTCTACTTAAATTTTGAATCGGAATGAGATCATTCTAGTCCTGTCACCTTCTGAGATTTTGAAATACCCATATGCTGCAGAACACACCAAGGCTAACATTTGATTCTATTTATACAGAATCCGTGTTAGGAAAATCTGTATGGCTTCAGCTTGAAGCAAAACAGCAGCAAAGATAGGATTTA